TTTAATTGCCATGGACTAGACCCAATAATGAGTTCTAAGCTGTGTTCAGTCAGATTTATACCTAACTTTCTGCAACCTATCTGCTAGTCTTCTCCTGGTTTGCTTCCTCATGCTCAGCTCCACTATATACCAGGGGGCCAGATGTGCTTTGCAGGGAAGTAGAAGGCACTTGGGAGCAATCATGTCAGCCTCCTGGGTCATCTCCATATTCCATAGGGTGGCCTGGGCTTCAACAGGAGCCCCAACCATGCTAGCCAGTTACTCCACAGAGCTCTCAGAAATCTATCTAGATTCATCAGTCTCTGGGGGTGGACCAACGTAACAGGTATAGTGTAGTTGTCAAGGCATTTACAGTAGTATTACTGTTTCAAGGGAAACTGATAATATGTGTATTGTATTTCTGTGTCCCCTGCAATAGTCCCAAAGTTCTGGCTAGTTTAACTATCATAATTTGTCTCACATAATTTTGGTTTTCAGATATTTCCGTGAGTTCCTCTTCTCTTACAGGCAGAACTGCATTTCCTCAGACAATTTCAGGAGAAGGCACATCTGTTGTGTAAATCTTACTACAGATAACTGATGCTGTCTGCTTCAAAGGATCTGCCTAAATAGTGACTGTAAATAGAGCAATGGCCCAATATATACATGTGGGTCCTTGGAAGTAAATTCAGTGGGTCTACTAGCACCTACTACTTAGTAAGTGTGCTTAGAATTGAAGTTTAAAGAGAATAAAATAGATGGAAGAGACAAAATTACTGTGTAGGAATGAATATAGATATACAGTAGTGCCTCATACTTTGAGCTTAATCCATTTTAATGAGCTGTTTGAACTCTGAATCATTTGAAGTCTGGAGCAATTTTCCCCATTAGAAATAATGGAAAGTGAATCAATCCATTCCAAGACCCTAAACAACACCCAATACACTGAAAATGATTGAAAAGACATGCACTAAAAAGGCACTGAGAACAATCGAAAACGTGGGCACACAACAGATGAAATTTCTCAATGACTGCATTTTTTTCACTGTGCGTGCAGTTCGAACTTAGAAGCATTGTTCAAACTTCAGAACGATTTTATTCTCAATTTTAGCATTTGAACTCTGGAATGTTTGAACTTAGGGTCCTTCGAGGTACAAGGCACCACTGTATAAATAGAACAAATGGCATTATTGTTGGAAATGTGTTAGTCATTCTGTCTCTGGTTAGTGGTCCCTGATCTTATCTTTCCTATAGGTCTAAGAGTGCCATCCTATGCATGTTTAGACAGAAAAAGTTCAACAGTTCTCAGTGTCCCTCTAAGCTAGCCATACAAGTTAGGACACTCTGAGAATTATAGGACTTTTTGTCTCAACATGTATAGGATTATATACTAAAGAATATATAGGTATATAGACTGAAAGAAAAAAAGCCACATGACAAAACTTGAGAGATGCTTCATTTGATACTGTTTATGTAATAAAAGTTCTCCATTAGTGTTGCTCCAAGAACAGCTTCTGAAGCATCACAGTGCATTACCAACTGATCAGCTGGATTGTAATATTTCAGTATTCAGGCATTCCAGATGATGGGTTTCTTTATTGTTTTGAATAACTTTATTGGTTCTGTGCCCATCCCTGGGTTTGCTCATTGTTTGTGGTTTAGTGCTTCACAAGGATCAAACAACTGTGCACAGAATTTGGAAAGATAGTTAGCCATATTAAGAGGCACTTGACTCATCTGACATCCTATGGTCTGGCCATCTTCATAGTGGCTCTCACCTTCTCAACACATGTCCAGTATAGGGTACTTCTATTTTTCTCAACTGTATTTTATAAGCATTTGATCTAATGCTCTTCTAAACATTTTTGAGAGGCAGCTGTAGTTAGGCATCGTGGTTCCAGATTTCCTTTTCCTTATCATCTCCTCCTCCTTTTTGATGGATATCCTTAAGCAACAGTATCTGCTAAAGACTTGTGCTAAAAGTTGAAGTGAATATACAATCCTGCCATCACAAACTATGAACATTTGTCTTCTAGACAGGCATAGTACCTCATCAATTTCTGGCTGTGGATAATAGTTTCTTCTTTCTTTTACTGCCACCATATTTCAGGTGACACTGTTTATGTAATCAAAGGAGCACTTCTCTTTACTAAGTGTACTTTATTAAGATTGTTTGTTTTTTTAGTTCAAGGGCTTTTTGCTCTCTCCATGCTTCCACTCCCTCCTCTTCTTCTTCCTTCCTGTTCCACCATTGAACTCCTCCTCTCAGCTACTGTTGATTTTACTTTCAAAGTCCAAACATACTAGTACAGAATAAGAGAAGCAAAGAGAAGGACAATAAAGATGGAGCTAGATGGAAAAATGGATGAAGTGGACATTTATTAGCATATGAGAAAGAAGAGGCATTTTCAAAGCTGAGAGTGGGCATCTGAGGGCAGTAACCAATTCTGTGAATCTAGTTGGGTCTGCTTCTGCAAGATACGGCCCTTCTGGCTTCAAGGGCTAGCAGAACTTGAGATTTTAAATTAGCACAACAGATTAACTTGTATCAATGTAAAGTTGGTTTCCATTCAGTTTACTTCTAGATAACTGTTCTTTGGATTTTCCATCTAAATATGTGGGCTATATTATATTTAGTATACATTGGTTGTCCATGTTAAATTAGCTGAATGGGTGCATTGATTACAAATTAAGCCTAAGTTTGCCTCATGAGAAGGGTTAGCAAAATCATTTCTCTTCTATGTATAGACTTGCCTACTTTAAAGGTGCAATTGTCAGGTTTTCATCTTTAGCTTTTCTACACCGTTTCATGAATATATATACTGTTATGCTAAATTATGTTGCTTATCTAGGTAATTTTTATACAGAAGAATAAGATGAGATGGTTTTGTAAGTGCAATTGGTGGGTCAGAGGATTATTTTTGCATGGAGGTATCGCACAATTGAGATATGCAACACTTTTACCTTCGTTTTGCATGTATGTTTTCTGTTAGCAGAGACTGGATAACTGCGCTGAATATAGCAGGCATATTGCAAACAGTTTTCGTATTCCAGAAGTTGTTGGCAACAGGGCAGCCACGTGCCATTTCATACATACGACACTACAGCCAGATAATGTACATCTGGCCACAATTTGCTATTGGCCTAATAAAGCTAATTTGAAAGAACGTGTTAGTAGCCCCAGCAAAGATCTTAGCTGCTGTACAGTCCAGTTTGGGATCTGTATCCATAAAGGGATACCTGAAAATCTTCCATTCTCTGAGGAAGTATTCCACCAGCTATTTTTCCTGTAGAGTCCTACAGACATAGACTAGAACATACATCCACCTCCAGGTTGCTGATGCTTTCTGTCATGAAGGATGTGCTTAGATAGATAAGAATAAATAGAATAAGGTGACAATCCAAGCCGTGTTACCCTGTTTGCATTGATAAGTAAGCCCCATCATGTATAATATACCTTAGTAAGTTCTTCTAGTAGTGCAGTTTAATTAGTTTAATGAAATGGTTCAAGGCTTTTTGCTCTCTCCTTTTCTCTCTGACTTCCTGTTTCTCCATCAATCCTGTACACACTTATCTGGGCGTGTGTACAGCAAATAAATTGATATATACACACATTACAGAAAAATGACTAGAATTGCCAGGTCTCAACCTTGTTAGCAAAACAAGCACTCTCTGCAACTTTTGAAGTAGAATGTTGAAAATGTTTATGCCATTGCTGGGTAACCACAGGGAATTAGGAAATAGAAGAATATTCTAATGAGAAGATACTGTTTCTAGAAAGGGTTGAACTCTGAAATCTTTGTCTTTTTATTAACATATAACCGCATAAGGACCTTCAGCTTTCATCTAGATACGGTTAAGCTTATAGGTGTTGCATCCTTTACAGTTGCTTTATCAGCTGTGGATAGCAGTATTGGAAGCTGTTTTTCCATCGCATTACTGTGCATTTACAATGTGTATTTTGAAAGCAGACAGATTTACATGCTCTAAATTGTTTGGTTTCTTTCCCCTTTCGATGAGAAGAAATCAGGTATGCATGCTGATTAACACACTCCAGTCATTAACATGTGATTATGTGGGTTGCATATTGAGCACCTGCCAGAAGATAAAATCTAGTATTTTACTACATCTGTGTGAGACTTTTTTTGCATTTTCTTTTGTACTTTGGCAGCTTGAGGTGGTGGGGAAAATTAGGTTTTATATCTTTGTTCAGCAGAATAAAAGTGTGTACGTAAATGTTTGTGCAGAGGCAAGAAAACACACCATGAAAATTTATTTTAGTTTCTGAAGTTATGAGCAATCCAGCACAAGGACTTAAATAAATAAATAATTTCAGAAGATAGTTTATTTCATTTTTATAGTGTCCTGTGGCCAAGGCTGTCTGGACAATTAACAAAATTTAAATTAAAAAATAGAAAGAGACACACAAATGAATTTAAAATAACAAAACTGTAATAGCAATAGCAATTGCTATGATTCAGCATAGAAGTGCAGTGTGACAGAATAAAATAGAATACTAAAAAAGTTTAAAAGTTAAACTATTAAAACACTGGAAAAATAAAAAGGTCTTTTAATATACTTTATCACTGACATTCATGTACAGGTTGCAACATTTCTGCATGTTTGTAAGGATTATCTCTTCTGGGATATGGCCAGGTATCTCCTAATTTATAACATTTTTATGAGATACCTTTATGTCTCATAAATGTCCTCTTTTTATGTGGTGCTTACAAATGGTTCAGCACTGTTTACCATACAGAATAAAAGGGCTTCATTGCTTTCTCCCAACATTCCAGTCTAGGTGCTTTAAAGCATGCATTGAAGGCCATGTCATTATATACAATGAACAAAGGTGGTAGTCGCTTAAATTAACCAATTTTATTTGGGTATTTAAAGTGGAACATTATATCCTGCAGCAGGTTTGGTCTGTGAGCAAGACTGCTCATGTTATTCTTAAACTGCACAACATTATTTTTGCCCTTAGTTTATACTTTCAATATATGGTGTTCCAAGTGGTGAGAAGTTCCAGAACCTCTGTGCTTATACAGGTTTGATTTCCTTGGAAGGAGGTCAGCTGTCTCACAAAAGGAACTTTCTAGAGCTTGCAGAGCTCAAAGTTCAGCTATCTGCTTCTTAGAGCTTTTCTGCATGGAGTATTTATTGTGTGCTAATGATTCCTCACTCACAGTTGTTTACAGGCTCTTTAGACAGTGTGATCCTTCAGTTTCACTTGTGATTTTTCAGACAAGTTTTACAGGGTGGGGTTAAGAATGGGATATTATGTTAGAATGCAGAAATAGGGCTGTTTCTTCTTGTATATTTGAACTACAGGTAGTCCCTGGGTTACAGATGAGTTCCGTTCCTGGGACCTTCCTTAAGTTAAATTTGTATGTAAGTTGGATCACATGAGTAAGCTAAATGTTTGTCTTGTGTGTGTGTGTATAAAACACTTAAGGAACACTTCCATATTCACCAGAGCATCTTAAACATGATACAGCACTGTAATAATGATATTACAGTAATAATAAAGTAACTACAGATATTGAAGAGAGTGAGTGAGAAAAAGAGAGATTCTGTATGTATTTGTGTATGTGTGTAGGTACACAGTATTGAAAAAAATGCCGTAACTTACCTCTTTTGCCTTGCTTAATGTATGTTTGAGCTTCATTGTCTGCGGTCTTTAATTTTAATGTAAGAGCAATAGAAAATAACTTGGATCTTTAAAGTGACTTACCAGTCCCTCATTATCTTCCAGAGTTTTCTGATAATGGACTGCTAGGACAATATAGTCCAGTGCTTGCTTATTACATTCAAAACACTTTAATCCATGGCAAATTAGTCTTAATAGATCTGTGTTCATGGGAAGAGGTGGCTGAGCATTTGTTGAATTCCCAGTTCCAGTTCCTGATGGAGTGCAAGGTTTATGTGGAAGAGGGGCAAACATGTTTTCTGGGTGTTGAAGAGCTAGTTGGAGAAGGTGAAAATATTTATTCTAAGGAAATGGCTTTCCAGGACTATCTCTAGGGAACTACATGGCCACTGGAGATGCGTTGCCAAATGCATTGTGTACTCCCCTAGAGATAACTGTGACTATCTCTAATATGTGAATACCTCTAGTGAATCTCTATCTTTAGAGAAAAGCCATGAGTATCTCTAGGGAACACTGATGATGCCTCACTAAATGCATTACAAAATTCCTTAGAGATACTTATGACTTTTCTCTAGAGATATTCATATAAGGTATATGGCAGTCCATGCATTTGTAAGTACAGGTCGATTGTAACCTGGACATTTGTAACTTGGGTACTAACCTTTATTCTACTAAAATAGCACAGCTTCACTTAGAAGGTATGTTAAAAAAGAGCAGGAAAGATCTCTTTGGACAGAACTTGGATCTAATTTATTGTAATGTACTCTACATGGTACTGCCCTTGAAAATGGTTCAGATACTTCACCTGGTCCAAAATAGAGCTGCCAAAGATTGCTGACAAGGACCGGTCGCTATTCTCCTATAACGGTGGTCCTCTGTCAGCTTCACTGGCTCCCGATTGAAGTCTGAGCCCAATTTAAGGTGCTGGTGTTAACCTATAAAGCCCTAAACAGTTTTGGACTTGGATACCTGAAGGAACGTCTCCTTCCTATGATCCCTTGCACCCCTTAAGATCTGCAGGAGAGACTCTTCTCTGGGAACCTGAAAGTGGTAAGGATGGTCTCCACCCAGAGGAGGGCCTTTTCTGCGGTGATGCCCAGACTATGGAATGCGCTTCCCAGAGAGGTTCACCTGGCGCCGACTTTATATTCTTTTCAGAGCCAGGTGAAAACCTTTTTATTTGCCTACCATTTTAAATGTTAGGAATTTTAATCTGATTTTAACTATTTCACAGCCACATTTTGATTTTGCTCCTGTTTTTGTTTTTGATTTTGATTCTGTTTTGATTTTGTTTTCATTTGTGAACTGTTATTGCTGGTTTTATGCAATTTTTAATTATTGTTAACTGTTGGATTGTTTGTTTTGATTTTTGAAAGGTGCCTGGAGACGCTTTTGCATATAGGGAGGGGTATAAATATTTTAAATACATACATACATACATACATGCTGCAAAGGCACTGCAAATAGAGGCAGTGATTAATAACCTTATGTAGAAAAGCCACTTCCTCTGTATCAAACAAAAATGTCAGTCTGTCTCATTTGTTTGCTTTCAGATACCATCAAGTCCAAGATGTCATAAAGCAAACCCACAATGATAGTCATAGAAAATGTAAAACAACAGGGTACATGTAATGTTACTGTCCTTCTGCCATGCTTTTCTATTACTGAAAAATGAGTGTAGTGGCCAAAAGTGACACAGATGGAGAAAATATGCCCCATCAATGTGTCTAGTGATTTTCTCTTGTTGTTTTTATAGGTCTTTCAATATTTAAGTGTGCAATGACAAATGAGTAGTGGACAAAGTTCCAGTGTTTGGCACCGAGTTGATGTCCTCATTCTGTAACCTAAAATTACATCAAATTATCTGCTGGAAGTACGAAAAAAAATTACTCATCTTAACCTGAGCAATCAGAAAGATGGAATTCAGGTTCTTTCTCACTCCAGCTTCTTTGGAATCCCGGAAGAACACATTTACTTATGTTCTTGTATAGTCATGATTCTATAATTGAGAAGTAGCAGGCAGCACAATCTTACAGTCACTAGACAGCATTCAAGTGGCCATGGGATTATTCATGTACCAGCTTCGATCTTGGAAACTGGTTAGAGCTAGTATTCCATGAATACAGAGGCCTCCCTTTGCTTGCAGACTCCGTGGAAGAACCATGCCGGTTCCTTTTCTGAAGCTGCAAATGTGAGGGTGGAAGGGAAGGATACTGGTGTAGCCATGGTAATTCCTTCCCTTCTACTCCAAGGCATGGCACTTAGACATGTCTGAAATGTGCCATCTAGAGTGTTTTGCAGTGTGGGAGAAATATGCGTATAACCTGCTCCGGCTGCTCTGCATGGGATGCCTATAATCTTCTGAGTTCAGAAGGTTACAGGTAACTGCATTTGATTGCATCCTGAATAAGGATTAACCCCATTTTGGCTTCTCTGTGGAACTATTTGCATTTTTCTTCTTGTTTGTATATTTATTTGGCTGTGATTGAAATATAGCATCATCATCATTTTCCCTATGGTTTGCTTAGCCCTAATTGTAATACATATTAACTTAGTGCTGTTTCCTTGCTGTCTTAATTGTAGCTTTACCATAAAGCTACTTTCCTTAATAAATATGTAAAAAAATACTGGGGTCATAGTAAGTGTCCTGTTATTTAAGCCTATATTCAATGTAAATTTTGATTTCTGTCCTGTATTCTTAGCAACAGGGTAATATGGATATATTAGATTTCAAAATTTAATCTTGTTTATTAGTAGCAATATTTATATACTGGTACTTATAAATAGGTATTAAATAAGAAATATTTATATCTTATTTTGCTTGATTAGACATGGGTTGGTTGTTTGCATAAGGCTATGATAGAAAGTGTTCCTTTATGTGTACATTTGTGTATATATAGTTCTTGTTCCTTTCGTAGTTTGTTGTATAAAAAGCTGTTTGTGAAGATTCTTGTTTTGGAAGTATCTTGGCTGGCAGTGTGGCTTCTGAAAAGAAGACTCAGAAGCCTTACTGTAGGCAGCAGCCTCCAATTTAGTGAAAACATGCTGCCAGTGGCATGTGAATGCTGCTTTATTTTTCTGAATCAGGGCTTATTGATCTTGTTGCGTTACTATGTCCGAATCTTTGCAACTGCAGCTCCTCCATTTCAGCAGGATATGCTCTTAGGTACACCTGCAGTTCTATGCACACCACAGTAGCTATTCCTAGGGTTTCACTGCCCATATGCATCAAGGTTATTTAATGCATTAGTATAGTATTTTGGAAAATTGAATGCAAATAATTCTGATTTTAACCCTTCCAGTACATCTTCAGGAATATTAACTTAGTTGTGTAACATTCCCTTTATCTTGGAAGTATGATCCTGATAACAGGAACAGTTTAAATGAAAACATTATTGATAAGAGTAAGGGCTAAGTGCTTTTTCTGACATGTAAAGAGGGTTTCACTGTTACATATGTCTGAAGTGTAGCACATAGTTCACTGTTCGGTATTCCTCCTCTGCTCTTAAAACATATTTGTTTTACCTAAAGGTTTGATTTTTATAGATGAACATACTTAAGAAATAAAAATACACACTGAAATCATCCTTTCATATCTGTTTGCTGGAACCTTGAAAACAAGAAAACCTTATATTAATGTGATGATGGGAATTTTTTTGTAAATATTTGCTTTCATTATATGTTAAGTTTGCCTGGACTTCAAGTGCAAGCCCACTGCCAGTACTTGGAATAAAAACCACTCTGGATATCAGATTTTCCTGGAGTGTTACTATGTGTATGCTATGAAATGCAGTGAATGATAAATATCTCTTTCTAATGAAGAAACCTCAACCACATAGAAATGAAGACATCAAACAGCTCTTTTATGTAACTAACATTTTTCTTCTGTATTGCTGGCCATTCATACAAATGTTTTCTTTAAAATTCTATAGAAGTAGCAGTATTTGTGTTTGCAAATATTCTTGTCGGCTACTGAACAGGAAGGCATTGACAGTTTCTGGTTTATGAACAAGATTTAAATTATACAATGTTGATATAGTTTGCTCATTTCCTTTCCTTGTTATTCCTGGATTCCCCTGTTTTCTGCTCATACAATGTTCTGAAACAGAACATAGGATTGTACACCCTGCTGAGGGATATTTTTCTGGATTTTAGTTAAATAGGGTTAGAGCTGTAGCAGCAATTTTATCTGAAAACAATATGCACCAGGGCTATAATTTTAAGAGATTCCTCTCAGGTGCTTATCAGATTGTGCTCATAAGTCAGTAAGAATAACCAGCTGGCTCTAGTAATCCCCTTCATAAAGACAAGTGGGTTTTGTATGTTTTGTGCTTCACTGTGGATTTTGTGCTTCACCATTAACAGAGCCCAGGATCATTGCGGCTCACCCTTGTAACCTGTTTCAGTGCCTACAGATCAGTACCAGGGCGCATGAGAATGCTGTAATAAAAATAAATGTCTGTCACTAAACCACACAGTATGGGAAATAAAGTACTGTCATCTGGTTTTGACATCCTGTAACAAGAGTTTAATACTAGTGTCACGTTGTAGTGCCAATTTTATGGATCCCTTCTTTTTCACTCCTACGCTTTTTCAGTGATGGTCATTGGAATCAGGGTTAGAATGAACCAGGAATTAGACTTTTAGCTAGTGGATTTCGTGGGGTTCGTGACACAACTTGTTACCATCCAGGTACAATCAAAACTGACTCCAGGTGTGGTGGAGGAAAGGATTTGCATAATAAAATGAAGCAGATGTACAGTTAATCCCACAGCCTTCTTTCAGCCCATAAATCCAGGTGTCTCTCTATGTCCATACTAGGATCTGATGCAAAGAGCAGTAATCATGAAAGTGGAGATATATGAAGATATTTCTGTGGGATTGTATAAAATCAAAGGCTTTTTTCTATAGATAAGTAGAATTTACTTGATGGGAAACAATACTTTTAAATTCATGTGCTTTTTTAAATTTAAAGCAAAATATATGAGAATATTGAAAGAGAAAATGACGGAAATAACCCTAGGCTTTATATATTAAAAGTAGGAATCCTTTAGACATTTGCTGAAGCATGTAACATCTGTTAGGCACATAGCACATTACTACTACAGTGAGTTGCCTTTTAAGTAGTTAATCCCGTAGATGGGTCAGATTCCCAAAGAAAATGTCAAGGAAAGTTCTTCCTTGAACTTCTCTTTCCCACCTGTCCAGTCTGCACCTGCAATTTTCAGTCAGTCCACAGCTAGACTTCTAGTTGGTTCACATAGAATGCTTCATGTTGCCTCACTATCATCTTTATTCTGTTGAATGCCTGTCCTGACACATTTAAAATGTCCTTAAGCATACACTTGTAAATATTGCTGCCATTTTCATTTCTGGATTCTTCAGATCATGTTCTTCTAAATCTACTGGAAGCAGTTCTCTAGAAAGTGAAAATGCAGTTCTTGTAATTTCAGGTTTTCATAATATGTTCCAGCTATTATTAGATACACTAACAGTACTCCCATTTGCTTGCTTAACCCCTTGAATACCTTGCTGTTTGTGTAATTCCATTGTTAACAGCATGCCTTCTATGGCTGATCAGAAACAAATCCCATTCAATACTGGATTATTTTAAAGGTACCACACTTCTCTGGAATTAGATCACAGTACTGGTCTTTATGATGTTAAAAGACAGCTTCCTCTGTTTTCATATGAACCAGTTTGTGATGACACTGCTTTCATAATGTCTTGTAGGTGACAGAAAACAGTACCTTATTGTATACCCATAATACTTGAGCATTTTTAGAATAGGATCAGGCATTATGCTGCAGTGCTGCATTTCAAAAATGGAGGAAACAGTATGATTTTAAAAAAAATCATGACATGATCAATATGCACAGAGGGAAGTTCCCTTTTCTCACTTTTATTGGCCTTTGGCTCCAAAGGCCATATATCCCTGATTAAAATGCTCTTTTAAGGGTACAAGAACTTTTTCCATTAAAAAAATACCCAGTAAAGTGAGCTGGTATGCTGCATAATTTGTTTGGGACAGTCATTTGTATACATTATTTTAAAGGTGTTTGTGTACCGGGATATGTATGATATATGTATGTGTACTGGGGATATGTATGATTGAAGAGTTGGAAGTAAGGAATAGTTGCAGGCCTATATTATGGGGTAGAACCCTGTCTTGAATAAGTGGAAGTCCCAATGTGCTCTGACAGCTAGGAAATAATCAGAAAGCCCACACTTGTTTTCCAGCTTTCCCCATAACCACTGGGGCTGAACATATTTGTTTAACTGATATTTTACATTTTTATGGTTCTGCAGCTGCAACCAGATTGTGCTGTGTTATCATAGGCCAATGTGTGATTAGGGAGCAGAGGCACACCAGTTAGTCCTGCTACTCATGTCATGCAGGCCAAGCCATTGTATGGCCTGGCATCTATACTGCAGCACTTAGGCAGTGTTTGGCTATTTGGTGTGTGCCTAGGTTTCCACAGAAATGGGGAATCTTGAGGAAATGTCCTGTATGCATGGATGACATGGTAGACATATTGCTGTGTTCCTGCTCCTTAAACTTTCTTCAATCTAGACACAAGTAAGAAATAATAAATATCGCTAGTATTTATTAGCCATTCAGGTTTTTTTAAAATTCCTTTTTCATTATACACTACATATACATTTATAGTGTTTGAAAGAGTAACATACAAAGTCTCTGGAACAGATGTCCTTCCATCTTCTGAAAGCATTATCCAAAAGCTGTAGGAGTTTCAGTGTTCTTTGGATCTATTGTGCTAATGACAAATAATTTGTTGAAGAGAAACAGGAAATACTCACAGCATAAAGCGAGAATTTATTTATTTATCCATTCATTCATTAAAATCATTTGTATTGTTGGGCTGTTGATAAATGTTAATAACATGCAAACAGCAGCAAAAATAACATAAAAAGCAAAACCATAGCATCTGCAACTGAATCAGCATAGAGGCATAACAATGATACAGGAGTAAAATGCAATATTAAAACTAATGTTAAAAGTTAAACTGTTGAAATACTAGGAAAAGAAAGTCTTCACCTCGCCCTGAAAAGTACACAGAGTAGGCGCTAGGCACACTTCTTTGTGAAGCTCATTTCATAGCTGGGGTGCCACAACCAAAAAGGGCCTTCTCTTGGTAGCCACCCACCCCACTTTCTTTGGAGGGAGCTCCTGGAGAAGACCCAAAGATGACCTCAGGGTCCAGGTAGGTACATATGTGATGAGGCATTTCTCCAGTAACTGAGCCCCAAGCCATGCAGGTTTTGAATGCTAATACTAGCACTTTGAATTGGCCCCGGATTTCAATTGGCAGCCAACTGGAAGAGGACTTCAAGTGGAAGAGGACTGGTGAAATATTTTCTCATGAACCAGTTCCCATGAATAGTATTGCTGCTTTGGATCAGTTGAAGTTTCCAGACAGTTTTCAGAGGCAGCCCCATGTACAGGACATTGTAGTAATCCAAGCAAGAGCTTACCAGAGCATGGATAACTGTAGCAAGGCTCTCTCTGTCCAGATAGGGATTTTGGTCTTCATAAGGTCAGAAGAAAGTTAACATGAATGGCACTTATATTATAGCACAGAGTTACAAGTAAAACAACACCTCCCATGCATTTATATTTCATTTAAAATCAACTGCAGCAAAATCCACTAATGCATTTTTAAATAGTAGATATAATAGAAAAGGCTGCTTGCAGCCTCAAAAAGCACTTCTGCTCATCCAAAGAGCAGTGTGTGCGTGCAGGCATATGTATACATTTGTTCCCACTTTTTTCTGTCACCTGCCTTTATCTTGTACTATATCTCATATTGAACCAGAGGGTTCTCCAACTCTGAAGGCTTTTCAGGGGACCACAGGAACCTAAATAGGAATGAGGAGGAAGTGCAATCCTTTTTGTTAAGTATTTGCAGTTCTTAAGATCCAAAGTAACAACAGTGCTATATGTAAATAAAAAAGTAGGGCAAAGTGTCATGAAGTTTGTGAGGACATTCAGTCAAAACAAGAATATAAGGAAGCAAATGTTTATCAATATGTTCATGGAAAGTAAAATCAAAGTGACTTGAGGCAACACAGGAGATCCAGGAAAAAAAACTTTTAGATCCAATTAAATAAATAGTTAACAACCTTCATACCTTATCACGAAGGTATGCTAATATCTGATACCAAAAAAGTTGTAAAGGGAAACCAGTGTTCAGAAAGGAGATCACCTGCAGACCCTTGCACTTGTGTGATGATTTCATCCATAGCATAGAAATTCTGGTAAGCCAACCCACATATTAATGGAAATCTGCTAGTTTTGCACTGAGTCACAGTTTAAGAGCCTTCTGTATTACAAAACTCAGTAAAGAATGAAGAGAGTAGTTGCGGTGTTAAACGTACTTCTGCCAGTCAATTTCCTTTAAAAATGAACAGGCTGCTTCTTTTGAGACTTGTATAGACTGTTACTGCAGTTGCAGCATTTAGGAACAAGGTATTGGCTGTTTTAAAACATATATTGCTGTTAAGATTTATCTCTGGTTATTATGAGTCAACACAACACAAGCTTTTAAAATGCACCTTCTTTTAGT